ATAATTTTTTAAAAATAAAAAATATTATTTAAATATTTTTTAAATAAAAAATATTTTAAAGAACATCTATGACTACACATCCTTTGAATCATATTAAACCTAACTCTACACGTTATTCTATAAATATATTACTTCAAATTTAATTTAGATCAAGTTTTAAATTTTAAAAAATCTCCCGATAATAATATAAATAGTAGCTTTCCTTTTAAAGAAAACTTCTAATATTAACATAAATAGCTTTTTTTTATTAGCATTTCACTTTTTGCTAATGACAGTCCTACTAACTCTAATTGCTCTATTTATTTATTTAATCCAAATATCACGGAGGCATTTTGTTATAATATTTTGGTTTCGTATTAATAATAAAAAAATATTTTTAAAATAAAGTGAAATATATAACAATAAAAAAAAACCTGGACAATTTCATTCCAAATAACATTTGAAGAAGTTATTTTTCTCGACTATTTATTTTATGTATATAAATGGATTAATTATTGAGAAAAATAAACTATTTATTTTATTTTTGTACTCTAATTTAAAAATAAACACTAAATACCATCGTTTTTTCAATAAAAATATAAATTTAGGTTTACTCGATAGTGTAATGAAATAAAAAAAACCCTTTTTCGAATCAACAACTTGTGTTTCAAATTTCAAGAAATTTAACATCGGAAAAATGTTATCAACACAATACACTTACCATCTCCTACATGAAACTCAACACCTTCCTCGGATTTGGAGACAAGCATTCCAGTCTCAATCCTTGCCTCACACTTCACTGCAGAGACGGAAATGCATTACTATTTTGCAGATAAACCACTCATTATAAAAGTCAAAGTGTGATTTAGAGTTAATTATACAGCAGAAGTTTATGATTACAAGAGCAGATGTTTCCCTAGCTTCAACAAGTTTATGATTACAAGAGCAGAAGTTTACCTAAAACTTCATCTCCATCTCTTGGTGTAGCCCATCCTTCACCCTCCTTCATTATCTTCTTCAATATTCCTCCATCGCCTGTTAAATCCCTGATGCTACTCCAAGACACCATCTCAACATCAAAAACAAGAGTTGCATTGGGAGGAATCAGTGGTGGAGAACCAGCCTCCCCGTAGGCCAAGTTTGGCGGTACCGTAAAAATTGCTCTTTCTCCATTCTTCATGGTGGCAACCCCTTCATCCCATCCTTCGATTACTTCACCTAGAACCCAAACACCAAACAAAAACTTATCATCTATGTAGCCAACAATATAGACATACCGCCATTGATATGGATTGATTAGCTCTACTTACCCTGGCCTAATTTGAACTTGAAGGGAATCCCTTTATCACGACTTGACTCAAGAATTGCCCCACCCTCGATATATCCATTGAAATGAACTGAAACAGTAGTTTGCATTCCCAGGAAAATTCATGTAAGCCTTCTTGATGAATCTCTAAAACCACAGTTCTTTAAGTCCAAAGCTAGTCCATCAAGTGACAAACATTGAAACAAAATGACCCTTCTCCTGTAAATCTAAAAAGAAGAAGAAAAAAGGCATAGACAATAATTCGGGGGCTTGTTTTTGTACCTTCCACTTCATCTCCAGGAAATGGAGTTTGCCATGAATTTCCCTTCTTCACAATCTTTTTCCTTAGCCCTTGGATTCCGATTTTTTTCTCGGGCAATCCCGCATTGTCGGTTTGGGTTTCATTTTGCGAAGAGGAACTCAAGGACAAGTGTTCCATTTGAATTAAGAGATACAGATAAGAGTGTGTATGTGTTTGTGCGCTGGAGTTGAAGATAAGCCGTTGTTGGTTTCCCTCCTTTTATTGCCACTCAGTTAAGATTTTTCTGTTAGGAAAAGGAAGTGTAAGATACAAAGTTACAGTTGAATTAAGTTAACCATCGTTCTATTGAAAAAATAAATTAAAACGATATTTATTTTTTTATATTGTTTTTAAAGTTAAATGGGCTTAGTTCTAAACCGTTTCGGCGCTGATTGTTTATTGAAAAATAATTTTTATTTTAAAAAATAAATTAAAAAAATAAATTATTTTTTGATGTTGAGTAATATAATAAAAAATAAATTAAAAAATATTTTCTAGTATTTGGTTATATCATAGAAAATGAGTTAAAAAATAATTTATTAATATTTTATTTTTTTAAATTTATTAAAATAATAAGTAATAAATTTAACAAATTAAAAAGTTGAATGAGAATGAAATTGAAAAAAAATATAATTTTATAAATTATCTCAAATAAAATAAATACTAATAAAAAAATAAAAAAATTAAAAGATGAAGAAATTAAAATAATAATAATTAATATTTCATAAATTATTTTAAATAAAATAAGTAACAATCAAAAGAATGAGGACCAAATTTGATAGATAAAAAATTTTAATTAAAAAATAATAAAAAACAAATAATAATTATAAAAATAAGAACCAAAGTAAATATAAAAATTAAATTATAAGGGATAAAATTAAAAATAAATATTCAAAACAAAATAGATATAGTAATCAAAAGTTTGAGGAATAAATTTGATATAATCAACAAATAATATGATATTTTTAAATTTTTCACAGCTTATAAAAAGTGTTTTCCGTTCAAAATAAAAGAAAAACACTTTCCTAAAAATCAAGATAATTTTTTTTAATAAAAATGTTTTTCATTGACAGAAAAATATTATCGTTGATCAATTTTTTAATAATAAACAAATATAAAAAATTAATTTTTTTTTTAAATTACTTTTTTAAAAATAATCACAGCCTTCCTTCCAACTTCCTTCCAAACCCGTCTACGTAAATGCTGATTTTTTAAATTATATAAACCATAATTATAATATTAAAATACAAATATAAATTTTATATTTGTTCACTTTTCCAAGTCAGCAATCGATCTCGGGGTATATTTTGTGCTAACTAGTCTGAACAAAGAATGCCAAGCCCACTGGCTTGAATTGATCTAGAAAAGTTCGGTATGGTTTCCTTTCCTTAAATGGTCTGGTAATAAATTTACAGAGTAGTCCAAAGCTAAAAGATAAAGCCCAGTTTACCTTACGGAGCTTGCAAAACCCTAACCAATCTCCTTTCTTAAGGAAAAGTTTGGCTCCAAGTCCAGCCCACCACAGCCCAATTTTGGGACATCGATTTAGATGTCAATGAAATTGGGTATGCCTAATAGTGAAATTGGCTCCAATTTTATAATTAATTTTAGCCTAACCCAATTTTATATCCATGTTCAGCTCATGATGCAAAAAAAAAATTAAAAAAATTAAAAAAATTGAAAATAATAAATCTAAATTTATTCATGCATGGGAAAAACTGTGGGTATTGTTTGAATTTGAGGTTAAACTTGCTTCTTGTTAAATTTTGTTGTTTGAAATTAATTTTTTTAATAATTTTGAATTTTTTTATACGTTGATATTAAAAATAATTTTTTTAAAATAAAAAATAATTTTTAATATATTTTTAAATAAAAAATATTTTAAAAAATAAATTCTCCTAAACTCCTGTGAACACTACTAAATGATTAAATGATGCAATGAAATTGGATATGCCTAATAATTATTAGCCAAAAAGTGGCTCCCATCACCTTTGTCTCTTGCCCAAAAGGCAAGACATTAAATTGTTTATTTTTATATATATATATAATACTCTTTTCCTTGACCATATATTTTTTCCACAATATTGCTGTATATATTGATTAGTCAATCTTGCACTAAAACCATCCTAGTCTTTACATGAATCAATTAATTGCAATTCTTATTAAATAGTGGATGCTCTTGTCGTCATGAATATTTAATTGTGAATCTGCAGAATAAATGAAATTGGATAAAAAGCTGAAGCTCACAACGTACGTGATGAAAGCAAGCATTATATGAAAATTATTGCACCAAAGAAAACTATATAATCAAACGTAGTGGGGGTTGATATTTCATATAAGAATATTGATTTTGAGCCTTGTTCTGAGTGTCCCCTTTCTAGAGGGCAAATCAACTCGGAAGAGTGCAACAAAAATTATGTGGAGAACCGATGTTCCATGATCATTTTCAATGCTAGTGATTTCCATGCAACACTATGTTAATTGATTCTTTCTAGCTAGTGGTATATATCAATTCTGTAGTCATTATCCAAATTAGAAAAATCTGCTCTAATTTGTTACCAATCCAAGCTTAATTAGAGAGTCTACTGTTTTTAATCTTTTAATTGAATTCAAATATTTTAAAGAAATCTTATGTTTAAAATAATTTTATATGCTAAAAATTGAATTCTAATTAGAATTCAATCTTTAAAATGGTACAAAAGTTAAATTAGAGGTCCACCTCTCTGATTTCTTATACTAAAATATAAGAAATTAGTGTTAAAATTAACCAGTTTTATCAAAATACTCATCTATCTATATCTTTTCCTTAATCACTCTTCTCCCTCTTGTCAAGAAAGTAATATAGAAAACACAAATAAATTGGATTCAGTCCTGAAATATCTCTAAGCATTTTTGCATTTTTATTTTATTTTATATTATAAACATATCTCTAAGCTAAATCATGAGAAAAAACCTGTCAATTTAAGGTCCTCAATTAATCACATATTTATATATAGTTGAGAAACGCAAGTGATATAATTCAAATCAAAGATGTTCTCTTTTTCTAATTGACTCTTTATATATCATTTGAGTATTGAGTTGGGCAACTCACTTGCTTAGCACTCTTGCTTAACAACACCAAACCAATGATTATTCAAGCATTAAGTTAAATTTTACAGAATGTTGGTTTCCGGTGATAATTTTCCATAGATGAAAGCATGAAAATTTTATATAGTCATGAGTTTTGCAGTACAATAGCACAATATCCACTTGGATGCAATGGGATCAATATACTTGTAATCTTGCAATCTTAATTCCTTTTTCCCTAGTGGATTTTGGCATAGCATCAAAATTCACAAGTTAAAGGTTCTGTACTAATCTAATTAATGTCTAGATTAAGCTGGATCGGAATGTTCTGTCCTTACTTAATCATCCATTGATACCTACCTAATCCTCCACCAACATTAATTTTCTAATCGAGAAATCTATAATTAGTGGCTCTTCAGCCCTTTTGGATATTCTTAATAAATAGGGAAAAATTGACTAATATACCCAGTTTATCTAAATTTGCACCACTTTCTAATCATCTTTTCTTTTTTTCTCTTTAAATATACATGGAGTACCGTGTTTGTCTCGTTGCTTTAGAAAATAATTGAAATTGCAGGATGAGATTCCAACGCAACTTTTCAATGTTGATATTCCATATATAGGCTCTTAGCAAATCCCAGAAGACATGATCAGCATATGGGAAACAACCTTGTATCGATCTCAGGATGGCAACAACAGGAGATTTTGAGAGGTTAGAGACGATTTCGAATCGGATATGAAGTTAGGAGGAGATCAAGGTGGAAGGGGGAGGTGCGCATGGCACTGACAGAAATTAGCACAGCAACTAGACCACTTAATTATGGTGCTCAAAATAGAAATTAGGAATCAGAACATTTGTACGTGGAATAGGCATGTCTGTGCTTACAGGATTCCAGACTTATTTTAAGTCATTGTTGGCGTCACTACTGGGTGTGATCTGATCACTTTGCATGGTGCAAAGTGTCAACATTATATTCCCTCCTGGGTTATTCGACGATGGATAGAAAACTTAGCAGAGTTGATGACACAATCAAATTGATGATGGAATCACTGTTATTAAATTAAATTTTGTTTGGGAGCTCACTTGAGAATCACGTCATAGATACAGTGAGGCCACTAGTGGAGCAGAGCTGGAAAGTGGTTTCTAGGTGACAAAATTACTAGCTTCATTTCAAGAATTACGGATCAACACCGTCAGGGCCATATGATCTGAAGGCATGTGGCTTTTATGTTTTTGCTTTCACTTTAATTTGTACCTTTTTAAGAGAGGGGCAGTTGCATGTGTTATTACACCTGGGCGTTGATCTGGTACCTGACTAAGCCAAGTTAAAAAAATAGATTGGAGTTGACTCAAGTGATCCCGCAGGGGAATTTGCATCTCAATTAAAATCTGGTTTAATTTTTTTTTTAAATTTTTTTGAAATAGTTTTGTTTTAATTTTTTATTTTAAAAATTAAAATATTATTATTTTAGTTTGATTTGAGTTAACAGGTTATTTTTTTATTTAGTATTACAACTATATATATATGACACACTTTTGATTTCTCCAAATTATTCAAGATAGAAATTAACAATGCCGCTGACACTAATCACATGACAATAGGATTCTCATATTAATGAATGAATAAAAATGTTCTTCTTTTTTTTATATAAAAAAATTTATCAATATAAATTGATAATTAATTAATATCAGTTAACTCTATAAACTAATCAAAAATATATTTTTTTAATGTAATTACAAATTATTATGGAACATGTGTGTTCCTCGTATCACTATTAAACTTGATGGGTTAATTCAATGACTTATTAATTTAAGATATGATTCAAATTAAATTTTAAATTAAATTAAATAAAAATTAATCCAATTAGATTGAAAGAATCAACTCATGACCTAATTCAAATATAATTTTTTTTTAAATTACTTTAATTTTTTTAAGTAAAAATATTTTACATTGATTTGAAGAACTTATCATATGTATCATATTTATAACATATCTATTTTATTTATAACATGAGAAATTTTAATAACTTTACTGCATATAAACAAAACAATATCCTTACAAAAAGAAGAAGAAGCATATTTCATGGTAATACTAAAACAAAATCTATATTTATTGCACCATCCCAATTGAAAAGAATAATCAATATTTGA